TTTGCATCAAATTAAATTGACAAAAGTGGTTTTATGTACATGGAAAGAATATGTCTGATGAAGGTCATGAGTCTGAAATGTGGATAATAAAATACTTTCTCAGGCTCTGATAACAGTGGGATTCATTCATGTTGCTTATGAAAGAGCATTTATCTGAAACCCTATTTATGAAAGCATTTATTTGTAACACTATAAATGTGTTTGATGTTATTTTTGATCAATCTATTGGCTCGCCTGAATAAAAGTATTTTACAAAATGAAATCGTTTTACTAAAATATGTACATGTATTAACAAATGCCACAGAAATTGAGGTAAACAGTCTGATAACATTCAAAACGGTGCCATAGATAGATGAATAGATAGATGGATAGAGGGATAGATAGAACATTAGATAGAACAAATGATAGATTGATGGAATGAACAAACGATAGAAAGATTGATAGAATGATGGATTGAAAGAATGTTAGATAGAAAGAAGATGGATGGATGGAACATGGATAGAACAAACAATTTTTTTAAAAATGAACAAACGATAGAGCAAACAAATGATAAATAGAATAAACAAATGAATAGAACAAAAGAACAATAGATAGAATGAACAAATGATTGATAGATAGATGGAATGAACAAACGATCGATAGATAGAATAAACAAACGAACAATCGATAGATAGATAGATAGATAGATAGATAGATAGATAGATAGATAGATAGATAGATAGATAGATAGATAGATAGATAGATAGATAGATAGATAGATAGATAGATAGATAGATAGATAGATAGATATAGATAGATAAGAATGAACAAACGAATAAATGAACGAATGAACGATTGATAGATACAATGAACAAACGAATGAATGAACGAACTAATAGATAAAATGAACAAACGAACGATCGATAGATAGAATGAACAAACAAATGAACGATCAATAGAATGAACACAAATGAACGAACAAACAATTGATAGATAGAATGAACAAACAAACGAACAAACGAAAAATCAATATATATATAGAATAAACAAACGAATAAACAATCTATCGATAGATGGAATGAACAAACAAATGAACGACAGACAGACAGATAGAATGAACAAACGATAGATAGAATGATTAAACAAACGAATGAAAGAACAAACAATCGATAGATAGAATGAACAAACAATAGACCGAACGAACGAACAATTGATCGATAGATAGAATAAACGAAGGAACAAACAAAGGAATAAACGATCGATAGACAGCATAAAGGAACAAACAAAGGAACGAACAATCAGCAGATAAATGGAATAAACGAAAGAATGGATGAACGGATGGATGGATATATGAAGCGCTCTCATACCTAAGAATGGTGAGACAAGGACAGACCTTTAAATAAAAGGGACATTTAAATCATCATCCTGATATTTATGACACATAACATCACACTGCCAGCAGGATCAGAATGACTGCATCAGCCAGAACGCGCGGGCCGACTATATTCTAGCTGTTTCATCAGCTGAGAAAGAGTGTTAAGGATTTGTGCTGATCTTCTTTTAAGTGCATGTGAACACCAGGGAATCGGATCCCACTGCGTCTCAATCTGAACTGCTATTAACCACAGGCCATTCACCAAATGCAATCAGGTCTAATGCGATTTCCTCTGCAACCTGTACAGGCGTCAGAAACACACAGACACATTGCAGAGACACACTTTTTCCGAAACCTGGAGCTCCAATCGCACCAGTATCTGCATTTTTTGGATGGACTGTGTGTTTGTGGACGTCTGCGTTTCCTCCTCTGTAATGGTGGGGTTGGTTTGTGGTGTAATTCGGTCCACGATATGATTAAGGGGTAGAATTGGCTCACACAGCACGAGTTCTTTCACCAACTGTGTCTATGTGTGGTTGTGTGTGTGTGTGGAGACAGAGAGTGTGTGTTTATATTTTTTTTTTTATATTTTTTTATTTTTTTATTTTTTTATTTTTTTTTATATATTTATATATATTTTTTTATATATTTATATATATATATATTTATATATATTTTTATATATATATATATATATTTATATATTTATATATATATATATATTTTTTTATATATATATTTATTTTTATATATTTATATATATATATATATATATATATATATATATATATATATATATATATATATATATATATATATATATATATATATATATATATATATATATATATATATATATATATATATATATATATATATATATATATATATATATATATATATATATATATATATATATATATATATATATATATATATATATATATATATATATATATATATATATATATATATATATATATATATATATATATATATATATATATATATATATATATATATATATATATATATATATATATATATATATATATATATATATATATATATATATATAT